ACTATTGCGACGAGGCAAGCTGCGGATAACACGGAGTGTGTGTCTCATCTCAACTCTCAACTTCTCAAGTTTAGTGTTACGTCTTATTTTTCAGCACTACTTTAATAGTACTTTTCAGTAAAATAATAGTATTTTTCTACAACAAATCAGTATCGATCAAATTTTAGCGAAACGAACGAGACCTTGGTCTGATCCTTCGGTTTTACTTTGCGTGAAGCAAAAGTTTACTTTGATGCTTGGGTTCCCTAGTTGACTTTTCTTGTAGTACTTTTTTTTTATTTTGGTATAGTAGGATTTTAGATTAACGATATATTACTAGGAGTGCTAAGTAAATATAGCTTGGAGTACTTACGGTGTGTGATTTTACTCCATTCCTTTGCGTTACTACTAAATAAGGCCATCACGGCATGCAGGTCCCCCACCGAACCAGCCAACTCATCTGGTCCAACCATTTGATGAGAGATGGTCAATATTAGCGGCTGTGATTATACTACAACTACTAGTTCTAGGCTAAGGCTACCACCAGCACGGGTGAGTTTCAACTTTAGGACCTATTTGGCAGGGCTGCGGTGGCATTGGCTTCCGCCCCTGTCGGCCTCCCACGGGCCCATAGGTGCCGAGGGGAGCCGGAGTCGCGGAGCTCAAAAAACGAGCTTCTCCGGCTCGGCGGTCGCTGTGAGAGAGAAAGGGAGGAGAGAGAAAAACGGCTTCGGTGAACAGTAGCCCCATGTCGGCCCGTGGGCGGCCGACAGGCAGGAGCGGAGCCGAGCCGCCGGAGCCCTACCAAACAGGTCCTAGTTTGGAGGGGCTTCTTTGTTTGGCATCACAAGCACGTATTTATATTGTTGTTTGTACTTTGTACCACTAATCTTGTTGGAGTGTGAATCGAACGATATTGTTCAAAAAAAAAAGGTGTGAATTGATCGATTCCTTTTAACTTCACAAGATTGACCTTGAGTTCCTGATTCGGCTGCTGGAGTCCAAGTTTTGTTTGGGTCAGGTGGCCTGCGTGTCTATTCCTATGGCATTCGGCCTTTTGTACCGGGTAGATTAGGAACGGTGGTTGCTTATTTGACGTGCTATGTCAGATCTATTCACTAAACTAAGGGGTATGGATCTATGGAGAACCAGTTAAAAAGTTTATGGACCAAAAAATACAATTTGAAAGTTGATGGACCTGGATGACACACCACCAAAAGTGAATGGACCCAAAAAATGCAATTTAAAAGTTTATGGACCTGGATGATACACCACCAAAAGTTAATAGATCAAAAAATGCAGTTTGAAAGTTGATGGATCTAGATGACACACCACCAAAAGTTAATGGACCTACGGTGCATTTAACTTTTTATTTACACATTTCCTACCTTATAGACCTCTGGAATCTCTTCAGGACAGGTGACGGCTTTCGCGCCGCCCGTCACCAGCACCCGCGCCCTCTCCCACCCGACCGCGCCCACGCCCCACTCCCACTCGCCCACGCTCGATTGGAGCCTGCTCCCACGGCTAGGGTTCCGGCGTGACCTCGACCGGAGACGACGACCTCGCCGCAGCGCCCTCCCTTTCCACCTCTCCCCCCTCTTTCTTCTTCATATCCGGCGAGCATAGAAGGGGGTTCGGGGGGAGGCAGGGCGGCCAGACCGTGGGGACGGGTGCAGGTGGCTTCGGTTCCTGGTGGCGATGGAGGTGGCCGGGCCAAATTAGGGCGGGGGCATCACAGTCGTTGTCGCCGGAGTTGGAGAAGAAAGCGACGGCGAAGGGGGGAGGGGAAGAGGGCGGGCGTGGAAGAGTCTAGCCAGAGCTCCGCGGCGGGGCGATGGGGGGCGAAGCGGGCCAGTGCGGACGCCATGGCGACAGGAGGAACAATGTTCGCTGGAGGAAGAACAAAACACCCGAACCATTGGATGGGCATTAGACAGCTCAGAAACATCGCCTTAAATTATCGTTGATTTCAGGCGCTTGAGGTATAGCATGACCCTTTTACTTAGCACCGCTTAAAATTTATTACTCAGTAAAAGCCCCCGTCATGAATTGGGTAATTCTATAGTACAACTTATAAGTCTAGTAAAAGCAAACTATTTTTTCAATTAGGCGAATGTCTTGGGCCAGATAACGAGATAGCTCTACTCGCTATGTCTCATTGCACAACGAGCTAGCCAGCTCGGCTCGTTAAGAAAACAAGCTAAATCAATAGCTAGTACCTACTATTTCCATACAAACATTGTGAGAAAAAGGAAAACAAACAAGAACATCAGTTGTATACTTCAATCTTGTGCAAACAAAATAAATTCAAATCTAATTATTGTTGATTTAGATTATTGGACTATGAAATGCTTGGCTCGTTTAGTTCACGTGAGTCAATAGTGAGAGACACAAGCTAGCAACTTAGCAAGCTATGAGCTTTTTATCCAGCCCCACAAAATAGTATCTTTATATCTATGCTCCGGCATAAAAAGTGATGATGCATATGGATAACTATATCTTGAATGCATAAAACTAATTGATTTCTCAAAGCACCCCGCCTTCTTCTATATTACATGTCCTTAGACCACTATCTTTAGAGAGTGTGTGTGACTGATGATAAGACCATCTAACAATTTGGATGTAACCTATACGTTGATGATGTCACTATACGGTATTCCCGCACCCTTTTCCTTGTTAATTGTCACGTGTCCCCAACTAATTGTTTTCTACGCCATATATGACCAAATTTCCACATGGCCGATAGTGCCACCACACAATTCATACACATTTTCTATATCATTACAAGCTCAACATTCTAGTCAAGTCACCACCAAGTCATCATATTACCATCCATCGTTGGCTCACCGCCTTGGTTCCTTTGCAACTAGCACTTGATCGACCTTCTCATCGTAACTAATGGCATGTTTGGTGTGGCTCCTACTAGTTTCATGTGGAGTTCGAGTATTGGAGCAGGCGTAGCCGCACCAATCAATGTCGTGCGGAGGAGCGTTTCTGCCTTCCCGTGTATGCGAAGCTAGAGCTAGGGCGCCAAAAACGAGCTCTGTCTATAGAGTTTTGGCTCCGGCCTCATAGCACCCCGCATGGAGCCGCACCAAACGCGCCTTAACCCTGATTGTCGTTGCGACAAGAGGGCCTTGTTTAGATGCACACCAAATTCCAAGTTTTTTCACTTTCTCTCCATCACATCAATTTTTAACCGCTTACATGGAGTATTAAATATAGGTAAAAAAATAACTAATTACACAGTTTAGTTGGAAATCACGAGATGAATCTTTTGAGCCTAGTTGGTCTACGATTGGACAATATTTGACAAATAAGACAAAAGTGGTACTATTCATCGGGTTGCAAAAATTTGCAAAGAGAACAAGGCCGAGGTGTCGGGGCCGTTCGGCTGACATGAAACCTGCTTTATCCGTTTTTTTTCATTTGAAACAGTATTTTTTTCTCATAAATTCATAGTAACTTTTTTAGTCGCTACAGTGATTTTCGTGTCGGCCGAACGCAGCCGTCGTTGCATTGTTCCCAACTTATCACCAATGTTTTTGAAGTCTTTGCTCGATGGTTTCAAACGTCGACAGCCTTCCATGAAAAATACGTAGCTTTTGAAAAGTATGAACAACATTTGCCAAGAAAATTCCATTCAAAATGCTCCTTTTCCATCGACTCCATGAGACAATGAACAAGAAGTGACCAAGAACAGGAGGAAGAAAAACGAACCAGGATTACACACATTGAGGCTTGGTTTAGTTCCTGAAAATTTTCACCCCAAACTATCACATCAAATCTTACGGCATATGCATGGAGTATTAAATATAGACAAAAAAAACTAATTACACAGTTTGGTTGGAAATCGCGAGACGAATGTTTTAAGACTAATTAGTCCATGATTAGACATAAGTGCTACAGTACTAACATACGCTAATAATGGATTAGTTAGGCTTAATAAATTCGTCTCGTAGTTTTCAGACGAGCTATGTAATTAGTTTTTTTATTAGTATCAAAAAATCTTTTCCGACCAAAATATTCGATGTCACGTCTATAAATTTTCATTTCACAAGCTAAACAAACCTGACACACACACACCGAAAGAAGAAGAAAAAACTCGGGAAGGGCCCACATGCGCACATAGGGGAGCATAGACCAAAACGGGAGGATAGTAAACCGAGAAGAAGGTCCTGTTTAGATTGGGGTTAGGAATCAGTATTTGATACTGTAGCATTTTCGTTTGTGTTTGACAATTATTGTTCAATCATGATCTAACTAGACTTAAAAGATTCGTCTCGTAATTTACAATCAATAATTAGTTATTTTTTATCTATATTTAATCCTCTATTTATGTGTCAAAGATTTAATATGACCGAGAGATAGAAAAAACTTACTCATGCCGAAACAGAGGAGAGGGAAAGAAAGCGACACAGCTGCCTGACCTGACCTCCATGCCTCCGCCGCCCCCCTCCTTCCTCTTTCTCCTCTCACCTCAAGAAAAACGTTTACTTCCCCGAGGCGAGGCCCGCAGAAGCAGAGGAGAGGAGAGAGAGAGAAGGACCACACCGCAGCATCCAGCGCAGCACGCACAGGCAGGCACAGCTCCCCTACTACACGCATGCCCACGCCACCCTCCCCCCTAGCGTCTCTCTCTCGCTCTCTCTCTAGCTGCTAGCTAGAAGCCCTGGACCCCTGGTGTGGTGGTGGTCTAGACAAACAAGCCATTGGTCTCCGTGCGTCGGTGCGTGTAATCGTGTTGGCCGGTGTTGGCCTGCCTGCCTGCTTCCCGCTGCCCGCCCCTGCCTTCTTGTGCTCGCTTCCTCCCCCGCCTCGCCTGCTCCCCTGTCCCTCCCGTGTCGGAGGGGACACGCGCACGCGCGGCCGTGTGGGACGCGGGCCGGACTGCTCGGCTGCTCCGGCGCCGCCGGCCATGCGTGGGGCCCGCTAGCTAGCCGACCTCTCTCTCTCTCGCTCGTTCTCGCCGGCGAAACGAGCGCTTGGTTGACTTGGCGGTGGTCCGGGACGCGGAGATGATCAAGCAACAGCAGCAGCAGGCGCCGCCTCAGCCGATGCCGGCGAGTTCCGCCGCGCCACCGGCGCCTAACCCGGCGGCGGCAGCGGCGCCCAGCGGATGCGAAGGTATGTAGCGCTTGCTAATGGCGGCCTGGCGGGAATGGAATGGAATAGTGCCATCTCGGCTTCGCTCTCTGGTGCTTGCGTTGTCGAGTTTTTCTGTTTGGTGGGATTGGAAAGCGCCTTTTGTTTTTCTTCCCCTCTGGACCTCTGGCTGTAGCAAAGGCGCGATTTTTCCAATGCATTCTTAGGCGTGTCTAGGGGCTTCTGTGATTTCTGGAGATTTGCGGGGTGTTTTTTCTCTGCAAAAAAAAAAAAACACCGCTGGCCGCGCCGTCGCGATCGTCGCCGGCCACCGGCGTGGAAAAGTGCATGATTATTCTGCATTTATGTTCCTCCGTGTCTCAGAAACCCGGAGCTCCATCTGGCGAGCTACGAGAGTTCTGGAGTAGTAGTAGTAGTTCTTCCTTTCTTTCTCTGTCCGCAAGGGCAAGCGCAAGCTGCAACGGCAGCCATGGTGGTCTGCGTGCCTTCGGCGGAATTAGGGGGTGGTGGGGGAACGTAGCTCCTTTTTCTTCTGTGGTTATCACTGATGAATGATGATGCGGTTGGTTTGGTTTGGCCGTTTGTGTGTGTGCAGGGGAGAAGAAGGCGCCACCGATCAACTCGGAGCTCTGGCACGCCTGCGCGGGGCCTCTGGTGTCGCTGCCGCCGGCGGGCAGCCTCGTCGTCTACTTCCCCCAAGGCCACAGCGAGCAGGTGAACCCCTTTCTCTGAAGCCTACCCGTGCTATGATTCATCATTCATGGTGGCTCTTTGAGTTTTTCTTGTTCATGTGCCACGGCATTTTAAAATGCTTTCTAGTTGGCAATTTTTGCTTTGATGCTATGCATAAGAATATTTTAATTCTTAATGATGGGCCCTCTGGGGTCTTGACAGATGACAGGCCAAGATTGGTTTCTGTCGAATTTTAATTGCTAAAAGTATCAGGGACGTGACTTGATTTGTTGTTCTCCATTTTGGCATGGTTTAGTTCCAAAAATTTTCGCCCCAAACTATCACATCGAATCTTGCGGCACATGCATGGAGTATTAAATATAGATGAAAAAAAAACTAATTACACAGTTTTGTTGGAAATCGCGAGACGAATGTTTTAAGACTAATTAGCCCATGATTAGCCATAAGTGCTACAGTAACTAACATGCGCTAATGATGGATTAATTAGGCTTAATAAATTCGTCTCGCAGTTTCCAGACGAGCTATATAATTAGTTTTTTTTATTAGTATCCGAAAACCCCTTCTGACATCCTAAAATATCTGATGTGACATCCAGAAATTTTCATTTAGCCAAAGACTTTCTTGAGTGAATGAGTGGTGCTGCCAGTTAAGTTGATGGGACCTTTCCCTGTTTTATAGTGCACATCACTATTTTAATGTATATATTTTTACAACAAAAAATGTACTACAATTCATTTCTCGGGATGTTTCATTTAATATGACTTTTCAAAGCATATTTGTTCTGTACTTTAGGCTTTAGCAGACCCTTATTCATCATATGATGACTATTTCCTTTTTGTCGTGTAGATTGGTCCTTTTTTTTGAAATGAAAGAAATAAGATTGTTACATTCGATACACGAATTCATTGAAATATGGACATGCTACCGCAAAAAAGAGAAGATACGTTGTGCATGTAATATTTGTTCGGTTGGTTGGTAGTATGTTTTGCTTTGTTTGCTGCCGATTTTTGGCTTATGGCCAAAGGAGTTGGGAGTAATGGGCCTACTACCCCCACTCTTTTTATGGGTTTCTGGTGTGCTGCACCATTCCCTTCCTTTCTGTTTGGTGGATGGAGGAACCAAGAACGATGGAATTTTAGCTTTTATAGGTGATGCTTTCAGTAACCTCTGTCACAGATTTCAGGGTTTGGCACCAAAGAAGCTTGTTTTGAGCAAGTTTAGGGGATGGGATGATCACATGTTCGGATCTATAAGAACATCTCTAAACCCACTGCCTGTCCTATATTTAAATAGTGGAGGGCAAAAAAAAAAAAACACAATCAGGCTACCTACTCCACTGCCTACATCTGTCGGGCCAACGAATCCTGCTGCCTATTTTTCCTTCGTCTCTCCCCTCCCAATGTCCACGGAAACGCCCGACACCGCCCACACCCGCGCCTTGCCCTCGCCTGTGCCGGCCCTCCCCGGCGGCGGCCCTGCCCATCGCGCGGCCCTTGCCAGCGGCCTCCCGCTGCCGTGGCCTCGCGCGGTGGCCACCCCATCGCACGGAGGATCCCGGTCCGCCACCTCCACGCCGCAGGGGAGCCACGCGCCCTTCACCGGACGCCGCACACCCCGCAGGGAAGCCGTGAGATGGCGTGGCAGCGCCGCTCCTCCGGCTCCCCTCCCCTCCCGACGGCGCGCGGGCTCCCAGGCGCGATGCCCCCGCCGGCAACTCCGCTCCCGATGGCCGAGTTCGTCAATGGAGACAAGGAACAGGATGACACGTGGGTCCCCTTTGACATAGACTGCTAAAATAAATTTAGGAACCATGTTTTAGGAAGTACCGCTGGAGTTGGAGGCAAAATATAGGTAGTACAAAAATAAATAGCTACCTAAATAGATATTTAGTTACTCTGTTTTAGGTAGTACTGCAAGAGATGCTCTAAGAGATTCTCCGTCTGAATGCGAGTACTGGGAGGTGTCCAACTTTGGTTTTTCCTTTCTTTTTTGCTCGATGAAAGAAAATGGAACCTTTTCAGTTATGATTGGCTGGTGGTTTCCTCGCACATGGTGGCTATAATTGGCTCTTTGATGCAATGTATCTACTTGTGTTATGTGCTCTGCTGTCAAATCCCAACGACTTTCCATCACAACTTTCTCATGTGGCTTCTACAGTAGATATTAGTTTTACACTGTACTGGTGTTCAGGGATTTTTCAACCTGATTTACACAGTAGATATTAGTTTACACTGTACGACTTCAGTTAGTAGCCTCTTTGTTTTATTTTTTCTTTGTTTCTTTCTTGATGGCTCACAATACTTTGGGAATTTATATCTGTATTCTTCATAAGAAGATTTTTTTCATTCTGTTTTTTTTCTCAGGCTGTGTTTGAGTTGGAGTATGAGATTTAAAGTTGGCTCTTACTGTAGGTTGCAGCTTCTATGCAAAAGGATGTTGATGGACATGTTCCAAGCTACCCAAATCTTCCATCAAAGTTGATTTGCCTTCTGCATAATGTCACTTTGCATGTAATATTCTGCTTTGTCCCCACTTTAATTATCTTCTGTTTGATCATTTATTCATTTATACTAAAAGGATTTGTTCTGGGGCTTCCATAGGCGGATCCAGAAACAGATGAAGTGTATGCGCAAATGACTCTCCTGCCAGTTACTTCAGTACGTATCCAGTGCCATTCATGGTTGCCATAAGTTTTTCCTTCATTTCGGTATTTTAACACAAGTTTTTGTATTTAAAATTGATTGTTAATGGTGATCAGTATGGAAAGGAGGCGCTGCAACTATCAGAACTAGCGCTGAAACAACCAAGGCCTCAAACAGAGTTTTTCTGTAAGACACTAACTGCAAGTGACACAAGCACTCATGGAGGCTTCTCCGTGCCTCGTCGAGCAGCTGAGAAGATATTTCCACCCCTTGTATGTGAAGATTTGAGTCCACATGATTTCGAGCATTTTATTCGTTATTGCAATTAAATGTACTCACATCCTTCTGTAGGATTTCTCCATGCAACCACCCGCTCACGAGATCCAAGCCAGAGATTTACATGATAATGTATGGACATTCCGCCACATATATCGAGGTAAAAGATGCAGCATCGTGGAAATCTTTTTGGCTGAAAAATGTAGTATCAGTGGCATAATGGATATGTACATGTAAATTTCTGTTTTATTGTCTTCAATACAGTTGTGCATTGTAGCTCATGTACACAATTTTTTTTTGAAAAGTTTTCACACAAATATTTTTTTCATGGTTCTATACTTTTCGTGCACATAAGGATGTTTGACCATCCTCATCTTTTGGAATGAACAGGGCAGCCAAAAAGACATCTGCTTACCTCTGGCTGGAGTCTTTTTGTGAGCGGAAAGAGATTATTTGCTGGTGATTCTGTCATTTTTGTTAGGTACAGCTGTACATCACAGCTTCTGAATCTATGCCTTTAAATTTTTCTCTAAAAGAGCTCATGAGAGATGATACCTCCTTTTTTTTTTCTGGTGTTCATTGTGATTCAACACTGACTATTCCTTGTTCTGTGTTTTTTCTTATATTTTTAGGGATGAAAAGCAGCAACTTCTACTTGGAATCAGGCGTGCTAATAGACAGCCAACTAACATATCGTCATCTGTCCTTTCAAGTGACAGCATGCATATAGGAATTCTTGCTGCTGCAGCCCATGCCGCTGCCAATAATAGCCCATTCACCATATTTTATAATCCTAGGTCTGCACTGAGTTGTGACTTAATGCCTAATATTTACTACACATGGGCTTACTTCTAGTGAATGCTAGCGTCCATGAAAATCTCAAATTGAAAGCTTTCATTTTCAGGGCCAGTCCTACAGAATTTGTCGTGCCGTTTGCTAAGTATCAGAAGGCACTCTATGGTAATCAAATATCTTTAGGAATGCGCTTTCGCATGATGTTTGAAACTGAAGAATTAGGCACAAGAAGGTATACTGTATCTCACTTTACTTTTTCCCTGCTTCAAGTGTCCTTGATTATTGTTTTGCATCTCTTTCTAACAAACATAATGGGTTTTGCTGGTACTTCCATATTATATCTAGAAACCAAATTAAGATGTTTTGACAAAAATGTCATTCTAAATCTCCATTTTTTTTTTCATATTCCTTTATGTTGTTATTTTGCAGGTACATGGGTACAATAACTGGCATAAGTGATCTAGATCCAGCAAGATGGAAAAACTCACAATGGCGCAACTTACAGGTTGGTTTTCTAGTTAATTTCGTTGCATCCTGTGCGCTACCCTTTTCCCCTTTTCTGTTGCTGTACAGATTTTCTTTTGTGACCTAAGGAGATTGTATTTTTTCAATAGGTTGGCTGGGATGAGTCTGCAGCAGGCGAAAGGCGGAACAGGGTTTCAATTTGGGAGATCGAACCGGTTGCTGCTCCATTTTTCATATGCCCTCCACCATTTTTTGGTTCAAAACGTCCCAGACAATTAGGTATGCTTTGGTGTTTACAGTAGCACTAGTTACTTGGCAGGACTTTTTTGCATTACAGATTAGAAACAAAGCTCCCCCGCGTCGCTCCCCCATGCAGGCGACACGGGCGGCCGCGCCCTCCCAAACCCTAGCAGCCGCCCCTTCCCTCCCCTCCCCCTGCCACGCCGCCGCCGGAGCTCCTGCCTTTGTTTCTGTCTTAATTGAGCGGCAGAGCTCCTGCCTTTGTTTCAAAAAAAAAAAAAACTTGGCAGGACTTTTTTTTTCTAGATAGTTAGGTAGGTCAGGGATGCTATTCCTCTATCCTACCGAAGATGCTGGGTAATCTTCTTTCAATTATAGCTAACCTGTTAATGAATTCTGTGTATATTTGGTGACTTGATTTAAGAGTAGTTTTGAGCCCTGATATATAATTTTTTTTTTAATGTGTAGCATCGATGTATAATAAATGATCTCTGCTATGTACTTGCAGATGATGAGTCCTCAGAAATGGAGAATCTCTTAAAGAGGGCAATGCCATGGCTTGGTGAGGAGATATGCATAAAGGATCCACAGACACAGAACACAACAATGCCTGGTCTGAGCTTAGTTCAGTGGATGAACATGAATATGCAGCAGAACTCCTCGTTTGCAAACTCGGCGATGCAGTCCGAGTACCTACGATCACTAAGCAACCCCAACATGCAAAATATTGGCGCGGCTGATCTCTCAAGGCAGTTAAACCTGCAGAACCAGATTCTGCAACAGAACAGCATTCAGTTTAGTTCTCCCAAACTTCCTCAGCAAATTCAGACGGTCAATGAGTTGTCAAAGGCATCACTTCCACTGAATCAGCTTGGTGTGGGCACCAAACCGCAAGAGCAAACTCAAGAACCAAGCAATCTGCAGAGGCAACAACAGTCCATGAACCAACTACTTCCATTGAGCCAGTCTCAAACCAATCTTGTCCAGGCTCAGGTCCTTATCCAGAATCAAATGCAGCATCAGCAGCAGCAACCACCATCCATGACTCAAAATCAGCAGCCAGCTGCCAGCCAGTCGCTGCTCCTGCCCCATCAGCAGCGGCAACCACCATCCATGACTCAAAATCAGCAGCCAGCTGCCAGCCAGTCGCTGCTCCTGCCCCATCAGCAGCAACATCAACAACAAAAGTTGGTACATCAACAGCAGCAGCTTTTACTTCAGCAACAACAATTGCAGCAACAGCAGCAAAATCAGCAACAGTTAAATAAGATGGCTGCGCAAGTGCCAAATCTGGCGCCACATCAGCTGCAACTGTATGATCAGCAGCTTCAACTGCAACTGCTACAAAAATTGCAACAGCAGCAGCAGTCGTTGCTATCACAACCAGGTGTTACTCTTGCACAATTACCTCTAATCCAAGAGCAGCAAAAGTTGATTATTGATATGCAGCAGCAGCTGTCAAATTCTCAATCACTTTCCCAGCAACAAATAATGCCTCAACAAAGTACCAAAGTTCCATCACAGGCAACGCCACCACCACCAACCGTGCAACAAGAGTCACAACAGAAGCTTCCACAGAAGCATGTTGGGTTCACTGACACATCACATACTGCCATTCCTCCAATTATATCAGTCAATACCATTTCAGCTGTGGGAAGTCCTCTGATGGCAACTGGTGCCACACATTCTGTACTTACCGATGAAATCCCTTCCTGCTCAACATCACCTTCGACAGCTAATGGTAATAATCTTGTGCAACCAGTCCCCGGAAGAAACCAACAAGGCAGCATGATCAACTATGAGAAGGTGCCTCAGTCTACTATTCCTATGTCAATACCAAGCTCCCTGGAAGCTGTCACGGCGACGCCAAGATCAATCAAGGAACTGCCAAAGTTGAATTCTAATGTCAAGCCAAGTGTAATTGCTTCAAAGCTACCAAATACAGGGCCTGTACCTCAAAATTTGGGTAACAATGCACCCCCGACGGACTATCTGGAAACAGCTTCATCAGCAACTTCAGTGTGGCTTTCCCAAGCGGATGGACTTCTACATCATGGTTTTCCCATGTCTAACTTCAATCAGCAGCAGATGTTCAAAGATGCGGCTCCTGAGACTGATATTCAGGGTGCAGATCCCAGTAATAACACACTCTTTGGAATAAATAGTGATGGTCAGCTGGGCTTTCCCATGGGAGCGGATGGCTTCTTATCGAATGGAATTGATGCTTCCAAGTATCAGAATCACATTTCAACAGATGTTGATGGTAACTACAGGATCCCAAAGGATGGTCAGCAAGAAATATCGTCATCCATGGTTTCACAGTCATTTGGTGCATCAGATATGGCATTCAATTCAATTGACTCTGGTATGAATGATGGTGGTTTCGTGAACAGAACTTCTTGGCCTCCTCCTCCCCTAAAGAGGATGAGGACATTTACCAAGGTTGGCACTTTTCTATTTCTTTAACATACAGCTAATCTTTCACTTTGGGTAAACATAATAGTATCTGTGTTTTTACTGTTATGAAACGAAGCATATGCTACTTTCAGTTTCATACTGTTTCTTCTGCTTAACCTATAATTTCTTGTAGGTGTATAAACGTGGAGCTGTAGGTCGGTCCATTGACATTAGTCAGTTCAATGGATACGATGAGTTGAAGCATGCTCTGGCTCGCATGTTTAGTATGGAGGGGCAACTTGAGGAACGACAGAGAATCGGCTGGAAACTTGTCTACAAGGATCATGAGGATGACATCCTACTTCTTGGTGATGACCCTTGGGAGTAAGTTCAGCTGTCTTGTACTTTAATATTATATTTTTAAAATTATTTGCTCTTGGGAGTCTCTAAGATGGGAATACCAACAAAATTGGTAATAATGATCAATTTGTAGAACTGCTGGACATGTATCTTCTTGAAACTGGGCCTGACAATTTTGAGATATGCTCAATAATTAGATGATGAGTTATGAACAAAACATGAACAACCCTAAATGTGCTCAGATTTGGTCTTACCCTTGTTTTGTTATAATGAATGCTTTGCTATCGCCTATAATGCAGGGAGTTTGTCAACTGTGTGAAGTGCATTAGGATCCTTTCGCCTCACGAAGTGCAGCAGATGAGCTTGGATGGGGATCTGGGGAACAACATTCTCCCCAACCAGGCCTGCAGCAGCTCGGATGGCGGGAATGCCTGGAGGGCTCGCTGCGATCAGAACTCCGGTAACCCTTCTACTGGTTCATATGACCAGTTTGAATGACCTAACTTGACGGTCCATACATGCCGGATCACAAGTAGGCGTCTCCTGAAGGATGGCAGGTGCAGAGTATTTGTAGATGTGTGCCCAGTTTTACATCCGGGAGAGCAAATGGCTACATGGATTGGTAGTGTTTTTGTTCATATGTTTAGGTTTTCTCACATGGAAGGAATGCAGTATACGACTGTTGCAGACGCACTTGTGGGCCCTGGATATCAGCAGCAGCGTCGCCAGAAGGGAACCAACAGAGGCAACAAATCAACACAGGGTTTTTCCTAAAAATCCCCCTAAAGCTCTGATTTCCTATGACTGGGGGGTTTCTCAAATATCCTTCTAAAACTCAATTTACTAAGGCCCTGTTTGGTTCCAAGCTTTTAGGAGGTTGTCAAAACCTCCTAAAAGAGTGTTTGGTTTCACCTCCTAAAACTGACTAAAAGTAATAAATGCACTGGTAAAAAGACCATACAACCCTCCTCCATACCCCTGCTCCTTCTCTGCTCCCGTTGTGACCCTCGCTCTCCTCCTTGCCGTCTCCGCGGAGGTGGCCATCTCGACGGACGGGAGCGTGAGCAGATCCACCACGCGCCGCCGCCTCGTCTTGGTCACATAGGATCACCTTATCTTTGTGAAGGTAAGTTTACCCCTCTCACACAATCTATAGAACACATGGTGGGCGTCATCTATACGGTGTCCATGGTCGGGTGGTGGTCTTTGTGTGTGCTGCTCGAGGCGGACGTGGTGTTGCGATTCACGGAGGTTGCCCAGGCGGACACGCATGTGGCTAGATTCATGCCGCGCCCAGGCGGACGCGCGCCGGACGTGGTGGAGCTGCGAGGGTGCCGGACGTGGTGCAGAGGCCGAGGCTACGCGGAGCTGCGGATGGACGGGCTGGCTTGCTCACGGACGGACAGACGACGCGAAGCTCGATCGCGCGGGACGGCACGAACGACGGAGCTCGCGAGGGGGCCGGCGGCGCTCGCGTGGCGGCTGGTGGTGGCGCGTGCGGAGGACGGCGGCGCGGAGCTCGCTCACGGACGGACAAGCTGGCTCGCTCACGGACGGACGAACGGCGTGGAGCTCGGTCGCGCGGGGCTACATGGACGGCGGGTGGGAGAGAGAGAGGCGGCAGGGCAATAAAGGAGGGGTAGTGGGGGTTCAGGATGGACTTTAGGAGCTTCTAGGAGGGGATGGAGCTCCTAAAGTTTTTGACCCCTCCTAAAGTTTTTAGGAGCTTTTAGGAAGAGGTGTTTGGTTTTTTAGGCAAATTTTAGCTCCTAAAACTTTTAGAGGGATAACGCCTAAAACTAGTTTTTTTTTTGGTGATCCAAACAACCACTTGGTTGATTAGTTTTTAAAATTATTGGTAAAGTTAAGTTTTTTGAGGAATTTGTTAAAGCTAAGTATAGTTGCTAGTATCACGGGATCCGGTTACCAAATTGTAAGGCAGGGCTGCATCATTCAAGCAAGAATTTTAACCCTAAAGGTTATTAGACAGGACAAACTAGTAGCATAATATAATAATTAATTCCCTTTGCTCCACCGATGCACACATTTCCTCACGATGCAGACCCCTAATGCTGGGGAAGGATAAAGATCTTGACACCGTCGGTGAAGTCGACGCCGACCTCGGCGAAGCCCTTCTCCGCGTGCTGCCTCAGGACATCGCATGCAGGTCGATGCAGTAATTCCTACGAGCCGTATCAGATTGACGGAGGTCGCGCAGCTCGGGGAACCTGGAGTAGACATAGGAATTTTCCTTGATAGGAGGCAGCTTCTGGTACAGACGTCTCTTCTTGAGAATGTCGATGAAAGAGTCGGGCACCATCTCCTTTGTGATCATAGCCACCGTCGGCTCGGCCTTGCGCTGGATCCCCGCCTGCGGCTTGGTCAAGAAGACGAAGTTGATCCAGGAGGCCTCCGTCACCATGCCTGTCCCGGCCGCCTCCTTGTTCCCCCGCTCAGCCTTGGTGACGACGCCGATCTCGCTGTCGACGACGAAGCTGCTCCCCGACATCCTGACGGCGGCCTTGATCGATCGGGGCTAGTGTTCGGTGGCGGTGTTCTCGTCGACGTCGACGCGCCCGTCTGTCGCCGCGCGCCTTGTCGATGCAAAGGTCCTGGTGCTGCGGGCGCCTCGCGAGGTAGGCCTTGGTTGGTGCAGGTGGCGGCGCGGCGGACTGCTGCGCTGCGGCATTGTTGTAGGTCGAGAACGAACGAGACCCAGGGCACGCCGTCTCGCCGCGCGCGCTATATATATATGCTATGTGCAGCCACCGGCTCAACATCAAGGGCCACATTTACCGGGCGACCCTGCCCGTTCAAAGCAAGATCAAGAAAGAGGGCCTCAAACAAAGGGTTATGTACTCATCTATAAGGGGAACAAGTCCATTTTATCTTCTTGAAATATAACCATAGTCCGATTTTCTTCATCGAACTCCAAACATTACAAAAAAAAAAATGAATTTAGAAGATACCTCTTTTATTTACACTAGGTTTATCCCCGTGCGTTGCAACGGGAATAAAAATAAAATACCACGGCAAATTTAAGTTTGCACATGTATTATGCCTAATCAGGTTTGACCTGCCCAAGTCCTAAAATTACAGCCGTAAGCAATAGAAACGAGCTACACCCACATTATGGACCGCGTAAAGATGGCTCTGCTTGGGATTCTGTACGTTGCTTTGCTTGAGATCCAAAAGCTTGCTAACGGGCAACAAAATCATAGGAGTGTTCGGCTGGGATGAAATCCGACACAGGGTGGCGGAGATCATGCATTGGAAAGCGGACCGCTTGCTTATGTCGGACGCGGAGGAGGAGAGCCGTGGAGCTTGGAAATTTATGAGAGAAAAACACGGCGGGGGGGCGGGATCGAGGTCCTCCTCACCCGCGACCGCCCGGAAAAAAAAGACAAGGCCGTGCCAGCCGAATAATACCAGCCGAACACTCTCCTAGCTATGCAGCTTGTTGAGCCTCCAAATGCAGCGATTTCTCATATCTCTGCACTCAAAATAGCATAATCGTTAGTAATGTATGGTTCATGCACAAAAGGAGAGAACAAGGAATCCAAGGCACAAGTAGCGGGACTGCGGGAGGCATCTGTGATTGCAAATGTATTTTCCCATGCCAAAGTAGCCCTAAAAGATTTCCCCTCTTGCTATAGTAATAAATAAACGGTGGAGTGTAAAGATTGCTCCAAGACGTTGCTTTGCTTGAGATCAAAAGCATGTTAACGGGCAACAAAATCCTAGCTTGCAGCTTGTTGAGCCTCCAAATGCAGCATATCTCTGCACTCAAAATAGCATAATCGTTAGTAATATATGGTTCATGCACAAAGGAGGAACAAGGAATCCAGGCACAAACGTCGATGGGAGGCGCACATTTGACACGAGACCAATTGCAAATGGGGACCGCCTTAGCCCTAAAAGATTTCTCCTCCTATAGTAATAAATAAGCGTAGTGTTAGCGCCGGACGGATGCAAGACGTCTGCGCCGGTCAGCGTGCCCTAGCGCGGGCTGCCCACGCCAAGTGGCAGGTGGGTCCTCGGGGACAACAACACCGATCTACTTTTGAAACATGAAACATTTACAACATGAGTCTAAAGACAGATAAAACACTTTAAAACATGCGTCTGAAACATTTGCAAAAAACACATCAAAACACCTGAAAAGGCCATTGCAAAACACATCTAACGTCCGGATAAAACACTTCCAAGATGTGTGAAACATATGCAACATTCAAATAAACACACTTGCAACATACGTTTAAAAAAATAGATGAAACATTTGAAACAAACGCTTGCAACATATGTGTACAACCATTGCATCATGTGCAACATCCCGATCTACTTTTGCATCATTCATATAAAACACTTGTAACATATCTATGAAACACTTCAAATATACGCTTGCAACATGTGATTTCAATGCAACATCTCTTGCTGCTGTTTGACAAGATTTTGTACCAAATTTTTCTCACATGTGCATATATATTAATATGTGCTATCAAGGAATATTTTGTACTCGAAGAGAAGATAAATGAATAACAAGCATCATATATATATGTGCAAGTATGTTCACGTGTGCTAATTATGTATGAGAACAAGATATATAAGGTAGCAAATTGTCTAAGCTTGTACACGATATGAGCTCGTACAGATGCGCTTGTATATTCACATGAACTTGCATGTACGTCCATGCATAGTGTTCGTGTATAAATATTTGTCAAGGATACATATTGGATCTTATCTGAAGAGACCAGAATTCACCAGGCAGCCGATGTACATGGCGTCTGTGTATACGAGGGAGTTGAATCTGGATCCTGTACGTATTATACGGCGTATAGGTGAAGCGGTGTACGGGAGTACGGTCTTGTACTTCAACCACAGTCCGGCCCGGTGAATTTTTGGGCCTGCGGATGAGAAGTCCATCTGGTTTGGATTGTTACGCAAACCGGAATTCTTTTAGAAGGGTTACCGATAAGCACGTGCTTTGTCAGAGTTGACCAATAAAGTTTTGGAGATACTATTAGATTGTTGATGGTAGTAGGTTAACACTCTGCCTAGTCTTTGCAGCCACAGCTTAGAATGAATACAGCTGAATTAAAAGGAATCCTACATTCCCAGAAACAAGCTAAATATTTTAGTTGCTTCTGAATTCCTGTTAGTCTGTTATTTGCGAAAGATCGTGCGTCAACAGTTCAGCACCAGGCACCAGCCATGGGTTCATCAACAATCTGACTGAAAATTTTAGATTGTTGATGGTAGTAGGTTAATACTCTGCCTAGTGTTTGCAGCCACAGCTTAGAACGAATACAGCTGAATTAAAAGGAATCCGACATTCCCAGAAGCAAGCTAGTAAGATTTTAGTTGTTTCTGAATTCCTTTTAGTCTGTTACTGCTAAAGACCGTGCATCAACAGTTCAGCACCAGGCACCAGCCATGGTGGGTTCATCAACAGTCTCAGTGAATTTTTTTTATTGCTGTACTTAACTATTCTATATCACAGGATCTTAGTTCACAAACAGCCATGGGATCAACAATGACAGAAGAATCAACTGAAATCTCAAGAAAAGCTTTTTGATATTCATATACTTAACTATTGCATTATATAGGATAATCACGATCTTTCACAAATCATTGAGAGACCGTGCATCAGCAGTTGAGGACCAGCCATGGGATCAACAATGACATAAAGAATCAACAGAAATCTCAGTGAACAATTTATTTGTATGCTTAATTATTATAGGATAATCCTGATATTATTTCACAAATCATATAGGTGACCTATTACAAATGGTACAGTCCAATGCCAATGCAATTCCTCCAGGAGAATGACTAGATGTAGATCAGCAGCTAGCAGATTGCAACTCTCAACCCTCAACCTGGGTCCCTGGCGCAGGCTGTTCATGTTGTTGCATGAATGACTCGTAGGTCTCCACCCTGGTCTTGGATTCAGGCTGTTCGAGTTCATGCATGAAACCATTCGTCATCGCAAGGAAATCCTTCATATGCAGTTTCTTCCACTCCTGTGGGCAAGAGATAATCTTTGTAGTTAGAAAGCACAAGGCCACATATGTACATACCACATTTTGGGCTATGGGTGTAAATGGAAACAGATAGATGAGGACGTGGAAGACGTATTGATAAAGAGTAGTTGCCGGAATTATGCTAACAAATTGCTACATTCACAGAGTGTGGTTGCAATGGGAATTTAGATCCTGAGGATGGCAATGGCTGATAGAGTTCAGCATTTGATAGGATCCTAAGGTAGCTGCAATTCTCCTATGGCCATAGCGTGACGATACATTATAGATAGAATTCACGAGGATCAAGTGTGGGGATTAAAGAATCAGAATAATCACATAGCGTTAACATCCCAGGACTGCAGGAAACAAGTCTCCTCACCTCAAAATCCCATTCGCCATAAAGATTGGGGTCCTCTGCATCACTCCATACATAAGCGTCAGCCAGCATTTTATCTGAAGAGTCCTACAATGCAAAACCACATTTCTTTTAGCAAAGCACCTCTAGATGAGAAATCACAGACTGCAAGTAGTGCTAGTATTTCCAGGGTAAAACAAGAACCAAACACAATGAACGATGGCTTTCCAGTTAAAATCCCCTACGATGGCATTCCAAGGATGAACAGATGAGGGGAAGCATGATTGTTCATGCAAAAGTTTGTAGAGAACAAGGTATTCATAATCGACCTGGTAGCTGATATCATACGGAAGATCTGATCTTGTACTGAAAAAAATGGTGCCTTAGGAGATGGTACTGTAGTTACAGCTCCAGGTTAGACTAAAGCAGAAACGACACTGATCATACTGTATCTTGTCGGTTAGGCAGCGTGGAAACAACTGAATTCCTAGTAGAGTTGGTTTCATTCCTTCACTAATCACCATATATTTGCCTGTATATAATAATGGCTCAGATCAAATGCCAGATTTACTTACAGCCAATGATATATCAACTCTTGTCCTCGTGTACTCCACATCTTCAAACGCATCCAGAATTTGGAGCTCTTCATCAGTAACACCCGTCATAACCTGCAGAACCAATTAGTAGCATAGTAATAAATAAAAAGTAAGTGGAGGAGCAATATTTGATTCTTGAAACTCAAACAGTTCTATGTGACAGCAACCAACAGACCATCCCAGCAACTTTCTTGCTTTCAACGGGCAGGATCGCCGGGTAAATGCGGCCCTTGATGTTGAACCGGTGGCTGCAGAAAAATGGAGGTTAAAACTGAACTTGCAGGTTGAAAGCTAAAGTAAGCAAATATATACATTATGATGAATCTCTCGCTGTTGGCGTGTGTGGCGCGCACACAGATATAATATGCACATCCGCTCCATGAATCGGTGAACCATCGCATGATCGCAACTTGCGGAAATAGTAATACTCATCTACTGGTCCAACTGACGCAGTGACGAGGAAGGTGGGGAGAGCATCTCGTCACGTTGGCCCCGCAAAAAAACAAACAAAGGCAATGCAATCGGCACGGCGTTAGCGCGCAACAGCGCCATAGCAGACGACGACGGGGAAACGAAAGCGACGCCCCCGCAGGGAACCGAGGGGCGAGGGGCACCACCAACACCAAGGCGGGGAAGGCGGAGGGAGGGCAAGTGGGGAGGAGGTTCGAGGGAGGGGCGGTCGGGCGTACTAGTTTGGGAGGAGCGCTGGGGCGGCGGGCGGGACGCGCTTGAGGATGGTGCGGACCACCTCGTCCGCCATCAGGCTCCCGTAGACGAAGACGGTGTGCGCCCCGGCCGCGGCGGCGGGAGCAGGGGGAGGCGGCGGCTGCGGCGTCGTCGCCATGGCGATCGACGTGCGGCTGGGGAGCGTCTGGTTCGGGTGCCCGTTGGCTGGCTCCGCGCCGCGCCGCTTGTCGAGTGCTGTCAGGGTGCGGCGCGTGCTCTGCTTGGTGATTCTGATTTCTGAAACAGGGGGAAAGCTGGGGTGCGTCCGCCTTTAGGGCTCATTTTTTTTTTAATTTGGTCTTTTTTTAAAGAAAAATTTACGTTCAGTCTCCCAGAGAAACTTATCTTTGGATCCCGACGTCAGGATTCATGACTCCGAGGTAACACGTCTCGGCGCCACAGATTTTGGCTCCGAGGTGCCTGGCCGCGTACAGCAGGGCATCCTAAGTGGTGTTGATATGGCCGGTACCTCGGAGCCACAAATTTTGATGCCGAGCATGGATTCAAAACCCACGGCCAAGTTTCCCTTGCCGAGGCTGCTTTCATTTCTTCCTCCTCCCTCTCAGTTCCTCTCCCTAACCCGTCCAATCTCTTTAATCGACAAATTTGACCTTGAAAACTTGGATTTGATCCATACATCTTCGCGAGCAATGTATCTTCTCTTCCCTTATCATTTTTAGGCATTGATTTGGTATATATTACATCTATTTTGTAACCCTAGATACGTTATTACCTAATGTTTGAAGTGATTTTTTATTTTTTGTATTATGTAATGGTAGGATGCCAAGACGTGGTAAAGCTAGTAAGCCAAGGCAATCTCTTATCATCGTGTTATATTATGTTTTCATTTATGTGCAACAAATAGAAAAACCCTAGGTTTAGGGTTTAATGTTCATTGCTTTCGGTTCTTAGAACAAATTTGGTTTAATTGTAGTTATGGCTGGATAACCGAAAATGCCTTCGACCCATTGCCTCTGCCTAGTGGTGTTTCAGTGCCCATGTGCTGGTGCGGTGATCCTTGCAAGGTAGCCAAGTTCAATGAAGATGACACATATAGGCAGAGGTACTGGATGTGTGCCAATTTTGTGTTTGAGCCTACACTTCCTCAGCGCCGCATGAACAAGATGGTGAGAAATTGATATTGTGTAATAATTATTTTGTGTCAAATAAAGTCTTGTATGATTTATTTGTTTTGTAACAATTGCATTTGTTGCAGACCCCTCCACCGTAACAGTACTGCAACGAAAGGAAATACTAGTTGAAAAGTAAGTAGCAATGCATCCAACATTGCGTATATATAGGCGGAGGCAGGTTTAGTTGTTATTTCAATGTGTTATAACAGGTCCCAAGAAGCCTAATTAGTTTCACTGAAGAACCTATTTCAATGAACACTGAAAAGCCTAGATTCATTTTTTGAAAAGTCTATTCGTCGTTGACATGATAAATCACTGAAAAGCCTAGATGCTATAGGTGTACTATGTAAGTGAAGTGATAAATCGCTGCTGTCATCGTACTCCTCGTCCTTGTAACTGAAAAATCTATTTTCATTGTCTGAAAAGCCTAGATTCGTTCACTGTTACTGAAGAGCCTAGATTCATCTGCAAAGCATCTGTACGATACGATTGGACTATACATGTTCTAATGAATTTACATTTAATCTGTATACTACATTTGTGCCTTTTTAGCAGTGTAGTATAATTAATGATTCACGAAAAAAATTCACAAGAGTTTTCCTTGTTTCAGGAGCATCCACAATTATAAACAGAGACATCATTATATAATCAAAATATTTAATCGTCCAAATAGCACAATACAACCACATCGAACATCACAATCAACATAACATGTCGTGCATAGTCCACAATGTCTATACAGTCCAAATAGTTATAGGAAAGTAACTACATACTATCCAAATCTCTACACATGCAAAATAAGCAAAGTCCATGCAGCCTAAATAGTTGTGGCATCGAATCTAAGTTGGTAACATAGTCTTAACCTACAAGTCATCGTCACTGCCTGCTAGTTTTACCTGTACTCTTGTGGCCAAGAGCGCCGGTGCCTGAAGTGTACTTGCAAGGCGGACGGCGTCGTCTCGTTCCTGCAACCTGCGTAGGCTCAGTCGAAGGAGCGTCCTGGAACTGAGACTCGGCAAGTTCATCATAACCACGCTCCTCGGCCTCCTCGTCGTCTTCCTCGTCGTCCTTGTCTCCGTGGCCTTGGAAAGTGTCCACAATCGCGCGGGACGAGCTCTATCCTTCAGAACCTATAGACAGAGGTTAAATGATGTGTGCACATAAGTCATTATATCATGTCAGGATTGTAGCATTTAACTCTGTTCAACTAAAGAAAACATGTAATGAAAATATACCTCCGCGAGAAGAAGTACCGAGGCCTACAGGTGTGTCCCATTGTCGTGCGTGTGGCCCGTGTACATCCATCGCAACGCTAGTTCCACAACCACAACGAGCTGCAGCACGTCGCAGCCTACATGCTAGCCTCTGTCATGCAAAGATGTAATTAGTAAGCTGTTGAGTGCATACATATAAGTTATTATTCAAATGAATGCCATATCATAATCATACTACCACTGTTATTGGCACAGTAAAATCAACAGCCAATAGGCCATGACTTGTTTTCTCTTTTCTAACAATAATACAGATGTGTTGGGAATATCTAAACATTTTTAGGTAACAAGAGTACAATGCAATAGTTTACTACGGAAGACGGCAAAGCTAAAAGAGGAAAAGAAGAAAGAGCAAAACAAAAAATTCAGCCCTTCTGTTTGGTGCTATTTTGTTCGCATGGAGTCTGGATGGGAAACGGAGTACCCTTCTGTTACGTGCTATGAAAGGTCATTATGCAGTTGTCTAACTTGAAAATGCAATGCTTCTGTCTCTACAATATATCATGTCAACATTACAACATTATGGATATTTAAGCTAACATGTGAAGCCACCATTTTATGATAGATGTCATGTTTGAGCAGTGAGATATTAAGTAGAAAACCACTAGCTTAAACAACAACTTACTTAAGCATAAAACAACAAGAGGGCTAGTATCGACTTACTCCAAGAAAGCTGCTTTCATTGCATTGAACATTGCAGGCAACTGATCGTACCCCTCCTCCCAGTCCCCATATATCATCTTCCCGGTCCGTTGCTTTGCCCTCCATGCTTTCCCATACTTTATGTCATACTTAAATATCTCCTTAGTCATCTCCATAATTGTCCTGACCTTTAAGTTAGGCTGACCCTTCAAAGTTGTGTACAACTTTCTGGCAATGAGGGTAGAGGTCAACTGCCTATGCTTCTGTTTTTAGATCTGTCTAGGCACAAGTGTGTAGACCTACAATTTTGGTGATCTTGAATTTCCCTGTGGCCTTCTGTTTGCGAGCACAGACCCTCCAATTACAATCTGCCATCTCGCACACCACCGTGTAATGGCGCTCCACATAGGAGTGCCTCACCTTGAATGGTCTCTTACGTCTCACAGAATATTACTGTAACGACCTTTTTAAGGTGGGCAAGTCCTTGAAGACCATGCCCTTCTGAATTTCCACGCTGTCACTGGCCTCAGGAGCCTCTAGCAGCTCGTCATCTCTTCCTTCTCCATAAGCATATTGAGAATGACTAAGGTCGCTGAATTCATGAACCAGTGGATTACGATCAGGACACAAGCGTCTGATGAGCTCCATTTCTTGTTCACTCAAAGCTACAACTGGACGGTCATCATCAGAATCAACAGCCCTTGCTGTGCCATAAGGCTCATCATCATCCGCAATATCAACATCCATACTGTTAGAGGCCATAAATCCTGGGTCCACGTTGGTTGATGGAGGAACATGAGAACAACCATCATTATCAGGATTGTCTCTTGCATTTAAAGCACACATATGGATAGTATTGAGAGAAACGAATAGAATGAACAAAGAATAAGGAAAGCTAAAGTGTTACTAAATTACTTACTAGGATGATTCTAGGTCAAAGGGATCTTCTGAGAGAACAACATCATCAGTCCCACATTCTGCATGGACACCAGGACATACACCAATCTCATTCGGGACGGATTGAGCATCAGGCACCACAACCACATCTTCCACATCCACCTTGCGGTTGGGTAACGGAGGCTCAGAGGGTGCCGAATTCTCCGGTTCTGGCGACAACCCATGAGGGGGTGAATGACTATTAGGGGGTGAATACCCTTGAGGGGTGGGATCATTGGACAACTTCCGCACAACCAAATTCAAACATTGAAACCCACTCTTCATGACAGTTTTAACATATTTGTCCCATTGAGGCTCTGATGCAATTGGGACCAACCGTCTCAAAATTGTCCCTGGCCTGCCATGGTGAAGTACCCCCTCAACTAAGATATCATCTTCATTTGAATTGCATTTAAGCTCATCACGAGCCCTACCAAACAACTCACAAAACAATGATCGATCATCGAATATCACTAGCACCATTTGCATTCCAACAAAACTGACATTTCTAAACTCATCTTCCTCCACACTTCCTCATGATACAGTGTGACTACATTGTCCATCTAGTTGGTATGCACAACAACCAAGTTATTACGGGTATATTATTATAAGATAACTAACCATAATATCTAACTACATTTGCTAACTAAATTACCTAACTATCTACCTAAACAAATAAGTATCTAACTGCCTAACTATTTCTCTAACAATATAAGAGATTTGGTAACTACACTTACTAACTAGCTAACTAAATTAATAAGTAACTAACTCCCTAATTATGTATCTAACAATCTAATCTAACTAAATAAGCTACATAAATATATTCCTAACTATATAATATAACTAAATAAATAAGCATCTAACTTTCTACCTATGTAATTAAATTTGCTAACTAAATTTGCTAAATATTCTAAAAAAATTACTAACTAAATTACCTAAAGTAGACTAACTAATTTAACTTAACTAAAAAATTACCTTGCAGGAGGTACCGGAGGGGCTGGGGGCATAGAGGAGTGGGGCGCCGATGCGGGCGCCGGAGGGGCAGGGGCCGGAGGCCCGCCGGCCGACGGGACCTCCGACAAGCGGTGGCAGGCCGCCCTCACCACTGGACAGTGCGGAGGAGGAGGGAAGGGGGC